AAGTGTCACACTTTACAATACATAACAGTTTTTTATCAACATATAGAGGGCACTAAAATCAAAAGTAATGCACTGATTAGTCATAATACCGAATTTTTCATAAAATAACCATTCTAATGATGTGTCACACATAGTATATTCCATATTTAAAATTAAGGGATTACAGAAGTGGAAGGGAGGGGGTTGGCACATGACAAATGTCTGTAATGTAAAAATGTGTCTACTTTGGAATAAAAATCGACCTGTTTTAGCATTTTCTTAAAATCTAATGAATACAGCCAAATAACAGGGTGGGACCTTTTCGTTTGGCCACCCTGTATGTATATTTTAATTTTGTGTATCATTTAGAATAATAATTCTGTAATCTACCTACTTAAAAAAAATATAAATTATTTTAGATTTCTGGATATGAATAATGGTTTCCCAAGTATCATCGGTGCTATTGATGGAACTCAGATTGCCATAAGAGCGCCACCAGTTAACGATGAAAATTTTCCGGCTATAGTATTTTATAACCGCAAAGGATTTTATAGCCTTAATGTTCAAATTGTAAATATAATGCGTAAATACAAATTCAATTTTCACTTAAATATATTATTTTACAGATTTGTGATTCTAAAATGAAAATATTAGCAGTAAATGACAGATTTCCAGGCTCCGTTCATGATGCGGGCATTTAAGCAACTAGTCAAAGAAGGCAATTGCTTCAAAATAGTTATATTGGTGGTGATCATTCGTCCTGGTTAATAGGTATGCATTTTTGTGGGCTATTATAGTATTCATTTAAGGAGATTCTGGGTATCCGTTGGAACCATGGCTGATTACTCCAGTTGATGAACCAAATGAGGAAGCTGAGCAAAGATACAATTCTGCACATAAAAGTACACGAAATGTAGCTGAAAGAATCATAGGCTTATTAAAAGCAAGATTTCGGTGCTTATTGAAGCATAGGGTATTGCACTATGACCCGATAAATGCTGCTAAAATTATTTATAGTTGCTCAGTTCTCCATAATATTTGTGTTGACAGAGACGAAGTTGAGGAGTTTGAACCAGTGGGTAAGTTCAGTAAAAAATATTACATTTACATTTTTAAATTGTGGGAGTTGTAGTAATTTTAACCCCAATTAAATAATTATTAGATTTAGCACTGTCATTGAATGTTTGTAAGCAACATCTTCCCCCACTATGTACTTGTTTTAACACTACTTGGTTGATTAATTTTACTTGTTTATTACAGTGGTTTTTTCTTGTCAATATTAGTTTCTTTTTTACAGATATTCTTGACGCTGGAGATGATCATCTGTATAATCACAATCCAGGTGTAAATCCAATCCGCAATGAGGGGCGAAATATAAGAAACAGAATTTTGCAGACTTACTTTTTAAATTTTTGAGATAGGTATATTATGTTTTTATTTTGTTTCAAATATGCTGACCATTTTTAATTGGAATTAAAAAAATACAAACAACTGCGTCTTTACTTCAACATATTTACATAACATAATGTTGGCTAATAAAAAAATAATATTTGATAAAATAAGTTATATATACATTCAGTTTTTAAAACAAAAAATGTATTAAGGCATAAATATTATAAATAATCTATTAAAAGCATTTACAACATTATCGATGGATTTTTGAAGATTGTAAAGTATGTTGCACATCAGAGAATGTTGAGTTGTATACAGAAGTTTAATTCTTTCCTGAGCTTCTGTATGTCCTGAAATACATAATATGTATAGAGCTGATAGTACAGGAACCATGAAATACTCATTTACAGGAGAATTATTGTACTGACAAAACATGACCAAAAAGTAACCATAGGTTTTAAAAATGACATTAATGCGCAAGGACTAGGTACTTGCTTCTGATTTATGGAATCATTTTTATTTGTGTCAAACTTTTGATCTGTACAATTATTCTCTAAATCTATGTTAATAAAAACTTATATTACTTTTTCTCTGCCTATATTTCTTATATGGTTTCCGCTGATGAATGTTCACCCTGTTGGTCTGTTGTTTTCTTTTCTTTAAACCTAATTCACATATCTCAATAGCAGTGATGGCCACTTTGTTGATAATAGAAATTAACCAATTTTCTATGTCACTTAAATTTTTGTTGATTGCTGGACCTCCACCAGTTTGTTGTTGATGGTAAAATATTTCTCTAGCCTTTTTTTTGTTTTGCACACCCACTCAAAAAAAGTCTACAAAATAAGATGTAATTCAGTAGGTAGTAAAAAATTTCTAACTTTGTTAATTTTTACTTGTCTTACACATAGTATGGTAAAAATATTCAGCTCTTGTACAAAAGAAAAGAACAATAAAGTGAAAATGTATACATACTTAGGTATACCTTTCTGATAGGAAAATAATTTCAATATTAATGTAATTTGAATAAATGTTATTCTATGTCAAAATTACCACTTTTGAATTATAATTTTCCATAAGGTGGTTTTTAAGAAGTTTTTGTGTTCTAAGCAGACATCATAAATATAAGGCATTTAATTACATAGGTACTAATATATCACTTGTAAGATTTAAAAAATTGTGCTACATTTACCTGTCGCCACTTTTCTGTTGATTTTACAGCCCCTCTAATACGATTCAGTTCCCGACAAAGAGTTTCAAATTCATTTTCAGGTATTTTGCGAAATTTTTATTTTTCTAGCAGCAATAAGTATAATCTGTATTGTGCCTGACTAGTTTTATGAGCTTTTTCTAAAAAAAAACTACTATTAAAATTAACATTTATTTAAAATAAAAAGTATGTAGGTACCTACATCCTTTAGAACATAACTAAAAATACATCCTTTAGGTACCTATAATAAATAAACAGTAAATAAAAAGTCATTCTTTTGAACAAAAAAAATACATCCCTTAGCAACAAAAATAAAAGTAAATAAATAAACAGTAAATAAAAAGTCATTCTTTTGAACAAAAAAAATGCATCCCTTAGCAAAAAAAATAAAAGTACATTCTTACAACAAAAATAACATTTCTTAAAAATAATATAAATGTAAACAGAAAAAATATTTAGGTAGCGGTATTAACGTTGTATGAAGATAGTCTATCTTCATACAACGGTATTAAGACATTTTATTATTTTTTTTTCATATAAGTCACAAAATCTGTTTATACCCATGGCATTGTTATTAAGAGCCCCTGCTATTTCACCCAAAGTATTTCTCTCATCTTCCTGGCCCTGTCTATAAGCATCAAGTAGAGGATTCGCAGATCTCTTTTTAGTTTTTTTTGTTTTGGGCTCCGTAGTTTTTTCCACCTCTATCAACAAGATTTCTTCTTCGTCGCCCTCTTTTTCCTCATCCTCTACAACTGCGTTTTCGTCTGTTTCATCCACCTCTTCAACTTGAAACTCATTGATTACAGGTTCATTTACACCTAACTCGTTTAAAAATCCCACAACTACAACATTCCCCGTTTCATTAAGTAGCTCTTCTTCCAATTTCGATAGTTCCTTATTTGTTCTTGCTTTTTTTCTCACGGCTGTTTTCCATTCTCTAAATACCTAAAAAGTAAATATTGTAATATTTGTGTATTTCAGGAAATTATTACATACCTTTTTCCATTCCGTTACAGCTCGTGTAGGTCCATCTCCTACAGCATTTAAATCGGTACACATCTAATCCCAAATATTCTCGATAACCTTAGGGATAATACCAGGAGTCATTTTGCCCGTTTTTAGAACATTATGTTCTTTAATGTATTGGACATAAATCTCGAATTGCTTCTTGGAGGTTCGTTTTCTTTTTTCTTTTTCCATATTTCCAAATACTATTATATTTCAATAGAAACTAAAAAATCAAATTTACAAATCAAATAACCTATAAATTCCAATTAAGAAGAAACCGTCAGGTTGCGCAGTCGCAGAGCGATTTAGAAAAGCACAGAACTGCTAGTTCTTGCGAGCGTAGCTAACTTCTCAAATGTCTTGTTTTCCAACGTTGAATACAAATGAACGTTGAGAACTTGCGGCCACGAGAATACAAACATTTACTCAACGTTCAAAACTTCCATTGAAAGCGGCAGTGAAACTTTCCACCGTTGACTTATTTTCAATGGCCACAAGAATAACCCTGATTATCAGTTTAAAATCGTTTGTGTAATATACCTAGACAAATTGAGAATCAACCTTCATACAGTCAAAAAAATAACGCAAAAAGAACAAACTAGAATAGTCTTACCAGAAGTCTCGTTTAGTAGCAACAGTCGAATACCTGATGGTATGACAATGGCTTAGCCCCAAATTTCTTCGTGTGATTCTCTGGACTCGAACGACCGGTCAATTCTGTTCGACAGGTAGCTCTAATGAATTTATTTCTTTATCACCTATGTGGAAAGACTATAGATTCCAGGGGGTTAGATGTATTTTCTCCTTTTTGTACTATAACTCAATTACATGTGAATCGTTCGATTCAGCATAGACAATATTTAAAGCTTACTTTTTTTTACAACTAAACTACATGTGAATTGTTGGATTCAGCATAGAAAATGTTTAACACTTACTTTTATAATTATAACTAACTTACATGTGAATTGTTGGATTCAGCATAGAAAATGTTTAAGACTTAATATTTAATTATACTCAATGATTATTTCATTGAACAAATCTTGGTTACCTTAAGCAATTGCTTGAAGCTTACATATACCTTACCTAAAGTATTTAATTAACAAAAGATTAATAACCAACCCTTACATGGGTGGTGACATAATTTATAAAACCCCAAAAGAATAATTTAATACATAGAGTTCCACTGCAAGGTGGTTTAACCTCTAAAATATCCTAATCCCATTAAACCCATGAAGTGAAAGAAACTTTGAAAATAAACTATTAAATAATTACTTAGCTTAATTAACTCAAAATGGTGGTCGAGCAGAAATCACCGGTGAACCTCGGGATCCAATGAAGTTTAACTTCAGCACCACATCTCCTGGAAATCTCAAAAAAAATACATCTAACTCCTATTCATCTAACTGGGATGGAAGCTCCTTCTCTCTCCCTAACCACGCCGGTTGTCGGTTATCCAAGAAAACACAAAGAAAGGCAAAAGCTGGATTGGCTGAAGGATTACCTTCGCGGAATAGTAAGCGAGAGTCAAATAAAAAAAAGTTTGTACCACTTACTTCGTCGAAACGAGATGCCTTATAAAAAATGGAGGCCACGGTTTATCCAAAATTAAAATCCCTTTTTCAAAAAGGCCTGAATAAAAATTCCTGGACTGCTCCAGTAAATCCCTTGTTGCCTCAGGTGGCTTTTCAGGCCAAGTAGGCGTAATACGTCCTCGTCGAACAGAGTTCCAAAATGGAGGCTCGTCGTAAAAATGAAAATCCCTTTTAAAAAGGCTGGAATAAATTCCACTTATTAACTGCCCCAGTAAATCCCGCGGTGCGGTTGCCTCAAGTGGCTCTTCTGGCCAAGTAGGCTTGATACGTCCTCGTCGAACCGAGGTCACAAACACCTTCAACGATAATAATCTCGCCATCATGAGAAACTACACATGAAGCCCAGTATCATGAAGTCAACTCAAGAAAATTCGAGAAGACGGATATTACAAAAAAAACGACACGGAAAACAATGGTACCAACATCAAAAATTTTAAAGTTTCTAATTCTAATTATAAAATATCAGAGACGCACTCACTCAAAGCCCTACTTAAAATTTTTACAGAAACCCTTATATATATATATATATATATATATATATATATATATATATATATATGTATATATATGTATAAAGTATACTTTGCCACCTCAAAAGTAGATACATAACTAGCGGTCACACCTCATATATGACGGTGGCACCTCAGAACAGCGAGGTGACATCGTTTAACCCTTTTGCCTTCGCTGGTGGTTACCAGGCTACCTCTACAGTCGATTGGCGAAAATTCGTCTGGAGGTGACACCGGATTCCATATAAGTGTATGTAACCGTTGCTAGTTCGAGCATCTATCACTGGCGCTAGTGTCGCTTTTGTTGTATTATACGGACCACACAATGTCACCTCGCAGCTTCATATATGCCATTTGTATATAACATTCGCGCGATGTCACCTCAAACAGTCAAGGAATCGTGGCAACATTGTGCTGGCCTATTATACAAGTGGTGATATGGTCATAAGTTTATTTGAGACGTGAAAGCAGTGAAGTTAACAAGTGTATTACCTGATTTGTAACTAAAATGGGATCCAGAGCGCTAAGGATTTTAAACATGGTAAGTTGAAGAAAATTTATTTATATTCCGTTTGTTTACTATTATATTTTTTATTGAACAATGAATATAAGATACCATAGAGATCGCGTTGCCTGCCGTGTTTATGTATGATAACAATTTAAAGTCTAAAATAAAATTGAAAATAGTGAAAATTAAATTACGTAACAAATTCCACTCTTGGGGGATTTTTTTGGTAATTTATTGTGGACTAAAATTTAAATTTGTCTGTATGCCTCTATTTTTCACGACTTTATATATGTTTTTGGGTTTTTATGAGAACGTTGTTATATTTTCATATGTTTATTGCTCTATCTGTTTCTGTAGTTTTTAAAAATGAGAATTGCAGTTATGGCAGTTCACAAGTGTTCGGTAGAAACTCAACTAAAAATATAAATTTTTTCAGTTTCTAAAAAATACAAAACTTGTGTTCTGGTAGATACTTTTAAGAGAAACATCGTACCTTATTCCCGAAAAAACCAGATAAGCTTAAAATAGGATAAATTTACAGTGATTGGGCGTATACATTCAGTCAAATTTCAACATTTGCCGAAAATGTATACAGGGCGGCTCATATTGCGAAAGTAAAATTAAATATTTTTTAAAAAAATTAATACAACTAGTCAAATATAAATAAAAAGCTGAAATTCAGCAGAGATGTTCACCTTTTTATGAATGAGGACTGGATAAATAGGTTTCAAAAACACTTTATTTTTATTACGATTTTAAACGATTTGCTACACATTTACATGCTACACATATTTTAATTATTGTAAAATAAGACCATGGGAATCATATTAAAAATAAAGTGTTTTTAAAACCCATAATCCCAGCCCTTATTGATATTTGACTAGTTGTAGGAATTTTTTTTTTAATATTTAGTTTCATGTCCGTAATATGAGCCACCCTGTATACATTTTAGGCCAATGTTGAAATTTGGTAAGATTATTTTTGACTGAATCTATGCGCCCAATCACTGTGAATTAAAAGTTAAATTTATCCTATTTCAATCTTTTCTGTTTTTTTTTTTTTAGTGAATAAGGTACTGTGTTTCTCTTAATATGAATTACGCTAAAATCAGTTCAAAATATGTTTGCAATAGGTAATTTAATATGAACGAAATTCAAAAAATTAATATTAAATAGCTCAGAAGTTTTTACTGACAGAAAAAACATTGTTGTATAAAGGTTTTGTCATTTTTAACTGACTTCAAAACAGGAGGAGGTTCTCATTTCGTCGTAATATTTTTTTATGTATGTTCAGCGATAATTTGGTGTCCAATTTCAATGATTCTTTTTTGTTAGAAAGGGGGTACTTTAGGGATAGTCCTATATAAACTTGGTCAAAATCTAATAATTGAGTCCATAAGAAAATCCTCAAACTCTTAATTTTTTATGTATGTTTAGCGATAATGCTTTACCACCTTGTCAGATTTATATGATTCTTTCTTTGTTAGTAAGGGGGTACCTCAGGGGTGGTCCCATATAAATTTGGTTAAGATGTGATGATAGTATCTTTACGATTTTGAAAGCTTTTTTTTTTTAATTTTTAATACTTGTGCTTTACCGTTAATTATAATTCGTAAAAAAAATTGGAACATTGGAACGAACATTATCATATCTTTGTTTTTTATTACATTATGAGTTATGTAATAAGATAATTATAGGAGAAAATATTGCATTGCTTCGAAATTATCAAAAATTTTATTTTTTTATGTTGATCAAATACATTATTTCAAACATTGAATTTAATATAAAATATGTTCTATTTTTTTTTAATAAAATATCAGCCTTGTTTTAGTCGATACACCAGGAGCCTGCTGAAAATATTAACCCTACTGTAAGTATTGACATTGCAAACAAGTAGTGGCGTACCTAGCTCGAAGCGCGGGGGCATTTAGTACTCATATTCTCCTGGGTACGCCACTGTATAAAAGTTCTGTGGTTGAGCTATTAGTAAAATATTTTACGCAGCTTTTTTCATCAATAAACAGGAATGGTTTTTAAACAACCCTTTTTTCTATGTGACTAAGACTCTACCTTATTTTTTAGGCAACGAAGATCTTGCCTCTTGAAAAAATTAAAATGACTGCTGTAAGTTATTCTTGCATTAAATTATAAAAGATCAATAAATGATTACATTTTTTTTTAATAGGAATGGGTTAACCAATACACGATTCTGAAAGATGTAACTAACATGTTACCAGATAAAAATACAGTCGAGATAAATTTTGATAACAAAAAAAGCACCTGCTCTATCTGTGGGTCCTGTAACTGTGCCCATATATCGGACACAACTGAAGGACTACAAAAAGATCCGTACGATTTTGATGCTTGGAGCCAAAAGAGTATTTCTAACAGACCAGAAAACGTACAATCTTTTAAATTAGGGGTTTATAATGTAATAATAATTTTTTTATCAAAACTAAATCTCAAGGTCATACTATATATTTTACAGGAGTCTATTAGATCTGATGAGATTCCTTTGGCAAAGGCTTTGGCGGGTTATGTTCACGACGATGACTCAACATATTTAGAAAACAGTAACAGGGCAAATTCTAACAGTTCTGAAAATTATTTAGAAAACGATGATGCAAGATCTGTAAGTCCTGAGACTGTCGATGACGATAAAGATAAAGATTTTGTCATAGAAGACTATTTAAGTTGCAGCAAAATCAGCAAAGAAATAAACAATTTGACTATTTTAGAAAACTGCTCTTTAAAATCGTCAGACGACTTAGAGAATTCACAAAAAGCTGAGTCGTCAAATAAAAATCGAAAATTATTAGTATCTAATGTAAGTAGAAAGGGCGCAAAATATTAGTTAAACATTGCATGACTTATTTTGAATCATTAACAATTTTAGTATACAGGGTGAAAGAAAATTATAAACTTCTTTGTTGTCAACTTTACAAAAATTTATAGTTTATATAAAGTTTAGTAAAACGAATCCTAAAAAGCAGAAAACAATACTTTGATTTCAGTTCATTTGCAAACTGTAATATAAGAAAATAACTTCTTAAAAACGTCTTCTTTTTATTCTTCTAGCTTATAATTTGAGTTAAAAAAGATAAATTAAATATTCTGTGGTTAACAAGTCATATATTGCTGTATTTAAACACCCACACCTACGAGACGATAAATTTAGCCACATTTAAAATGTTTTCTCTAAATGCAAATTTTTTTAAAAATAATGACATTTTTTGAGAAATTTCAAACAGAAGTTTTTTATTTGCTGAAATTTTTTTGTCTTCCCTATATTATATTATTAAATATACGATACTGAAAAAATAGTATATTAGTAATTTAAAAATGTTTCAGGCAAAGCTAAATAGCACAAAAAAACCAACAAAATGCAAGTTTTGTGCGTTGGATATTATATCAAAGAATTTCGTAAGACATATTGAAACTCACCACCATGATGAAAAAGAAGTAAAAAAGATTTTAGAATATCCTAAATCTAGCAAAGAGAGACGACTTGCTTTTAGTCTGCTGAGAAATTCCACTAATTTCGATCTTTATATTAAAGGAGAATTACGTCCTTATAGAGAAACGAAACAACAACACACTACCTTATATTATCCCTGTATATATTGTAAAGGGTTGTATAAAAAAGCGTATCTAAGAAGGCATACAAAGAGATGTCCAGCTAAGAATAATAATTCTGCGTCTAATGTGCCTAAATGTTATGTTTCTAATTCACAAACAATGGCTGCTTGTGCAATGGATACCACTAATGTGATATCTTTATTAAACCTTAAAGAGCAGGTACCTAATATTAAATTTTTAATATGGCACGTTCACAGGGTTTCTTCTTAATCTCTAAGACAGGTATTGGATTTCAATTTGGAAAAATCTCGATTTATGAAATAACGCTATCGAAAGCGTTATTCATGAGAGGTAGACGTTTTTCATTGTCTTCATATTTCTTTAAAATTCTGTAACAAGTTAGATTTAGAAATTGTTGGAAAATAGTAATGATATTATTGACGAACATATTTTGTAAAATCATCGTAGCTGAGTTTTTCTTAATCGTAATAAATCTAAACTTAAATGTGAATGTTTATAAATTTGCAGTGACAAAAGTCAAATTAAAGCGTAAATTTTGAGAAAAAACCATAATATTAAATGTTGAAATCAGGATGAAAATCACTTAGAATAAAATAAAAAAATTTGCAGAATATGATTTCATATTGTAAAGTTATTTTCAATTCTGATCAATTTCTCCTTATAAAAATTTACGGTATTGTCATAAATAATAAAAATAAAATTCCGCACAATATTTATTGACAACCTCGTATACGAATTAAAAAGTTAATATCTGATAGTTAGGTTTTGGACCATGCAAAACTTTTCCTAAAAAAATTACTTCTTTTTTTTATTAATAATAGAAAAGTTATTCACAATATGGTTCCAACTTTACTAGACAAACTCATATACTTCTTTCTTAGTTGTTTTGGTCTTTACTTGATCTAAATCAGAGATAACAGATGTAAATCCATAAATATTAACAGGACCAAACTCTGGTAGATTTTCACAAACCCGTTTATTTAAAACAAAATTTAAACATGACATATGTTTCGAAACACACATCTAAAAAAGAAGTAGGTAATTCATGTTTGAATTTTATTCTAAATAAAAGAGTTTGAGATAAATATAGTTTGGTATTTCTCTTTTAAACTATATTTTTCTACCTCGGTGGAGATAAATTCTCAAAATCTCAAAGAAATAATCTTTTTGATCGCCTTATATGGATCATCGATATATGTATCTGATTATATCGGCCTTAGATATTATGTTATCGGCCATAGTTATATCCGGTACTGGTCGAATATCGATATGGTCAAAAATATTCTATCAATTTCCAAAATCGAGACTTCTTACCTACTTTTCTTGTATATTCTCGTGTATATTTCCTGGAAGGTAGAAAAATCCTGCAAAAAGTGCCAAATATAAGTGATACTTTGTACATTTGAAGTAGGTAAACATTGTATGCATTGGCACCATTTTATTTTCAGGTTTTTAATTTAATGAAAGGTGATGAGATATCATTTGAAGCAAAAAAGGATCTTCTGATAATTCATTTCGGAGAATCTTACTTAAAAAACATAGGCGAGAACGGAAAGAATATGCCACAAGCTGTAGGATGAGAGAGCTTTCGAGATTATTAATTGCCTTCAGAAATGTGGTACAGGAAAAAGAATTATCTTTTAAGGATATGTTAAAACCAAAATATTTTGATGCTATATTAGTTGCTACGAGAAATATTTCTGGTTTTGATCCTGTAAAAAAGTTATATGCAACACCTAGCCTTGCGATGCACTTAGGCACTTACCTAAAACAGGCGTGCGATGAACTTAATCATCTGATTTTAAAAGAGAGCCCAGGTTTTACATGCCAATCTAAAGAAGAATTAACCACGTGGCAAAAAGATATAAAAATTTTTAAAACCTTAGTGTCCACTCGATGGAATACGGAAATATCTTCAATAGCCAATAAGGATTTGTTGGAAAATAGGTGGAACAAACCGCTTCTTGTACCATTAGTTAGCGACATCAAAATCTTTAAAGATCAAAGCGAAAATCTTGCTAGAGACTGCCAGGAACAGTTTTTAAACGGAACAGACGATATGGAGACTTACAAACTAATGGTAAATTGTACGTTGGCATTACTTATTCTTTTTAACAGAAGACGAATCGGCGATGTTCAATATTTGAAAGTTAAGGACTATACAAATGAAAACAAATCTAATTTCAAAGACTTCGAGAGTGCTTTGACAGAAGCAGAAAAAATATTAACTCAGAAGTACAAGCGAGTAGTTAATAGCGGAAAAGGATCCAGAGCTGTGGTAATACTAGTACCTGACATGCTGCAGGAATTTATAAATACTTTGTTAGATCACAGAGAAAAACACATACCTTCCAATAATGAATACATTTTTGCAATTCCCAAAAGCAAAGTTAAGTGGGGACAAGGTGACGTTGCAATACGAAATTTAACAAAAAGAATTAAGCTTAAACATCCGGAGGCTATATCCAGCAATAAACTTAGAAAACACATCGCTACGGTGGCTCAAATTTTAAATTTGTCAAACGACGAAATTAAGCAGTTTTCCAAATTTATGGGCCACACTGAAAAAACCCATTCAGAATTCTATGAGTAAGTCATAAAAATAAAAATAAAAATAAAATAAAAATAAAAATGGAAATAAAAATCAACCATTGTATTTCATTGAACAAATTCGGTACAAGTAAATATTGAAAACATACTAATAATACATCCTAAAAAGATAGCTACTTGGTCCCTGCCAAAGCAAAAAATATATTATTTATATATTACTAATGTTTTATGTAGGGAAAATATAAGAGAAAAAAATATAAACTGGGAAATAAAAGAAAGATAACTGTCAGTCTAAAAATATCTATTTGAGTTGAGTAAGATTAAAAGAGTACTTAATTATTTTTGTCAAATGTTTAAACGTTTGAAAGTCTTATAAATTTATTTATTTAAATGTTATATCATAAAGTACTTAATTAAAAAAAAACTAATTATTGAAAAGAAAAAAAATACGGTCTAATGTTATTTTTTGTTTTTTTTTTTTTGGCAGGGTGAAACATTTTAATTTTGTCATATGGGCAGTATGTTTATAGATTTCATAGTTATAATTATATTAGTGTTTAGTTATATTATTGTAGTAAAAATATTAAGCTTTTATATAAGAACTTATTTGGGTTTCTTTTCTTTTGCATGTATCAATCACGAGACCACCCCGTCTCCACGGCACAGGCAATCATCCAATACCAAATGACTGTCCACCAAAGATGCAGCAGATATGGCAACCTCACGATGGATCTTGATACCTCTGGCAACCCTAAAAGTATTTCCGATAAATGTACTATGAGAAAAACTTTGTTGAAAAATAGACTCACCCAGATTAAAAGTGGCTTGTAATTTGATACATTCCTTGGCTTAATAGGTGTGTTAAATCCAAATAGCACTCTGATAGACATATATTAAGCACAGGTCACACAAAGATCATTTTAAAAGCACCGAAACTCAAATATTATTTACCACAAAACGGGGACAATAAACAAATTGTTGAAATTGTAAACAATATGCAATTTTCAAACAAACCGTTACCCGCCCGTACCCGTCATTACTATCAAGGTCACGATTCACGATGTCAGACTTTCTTGCAAATTGGTATTACGAAAAGAAACCTTACTAAATCAGGAATCCAGCCAACTAGCGAACCCAGCTAAATTAAGGGTTGAAAAAGTCAAAAGTCAGTACCGTCCATAGTCCATCCAGAGGGTAAACCGATCTCGAGGGTCAGAGTCCTGTTTCCAGGCTAGAGTTGGGAGTAAAGTTGGCCGCATACCTTTTTTTTTCATCGCAGCCAACCGCATCAGCCATGTGGTTTTCTGTCTGATTATTCTTAGGCGTGTATACGTAAAGAAGAAGGAACTGTAGATAATGTACAGTACCGGACTAAGTGGTTAGTGCCGTGCCGAACATGTTACAATTTTCGTGGGTGGAACTTAATAGGTGGTGTTTAGCAAATCATTTCTTTTAAAGACTTTAATGGATTTTATTTTGTTTTTTAGAGATTTTTAATTTTGTAAAACTGAAGGTATTTTTAATTATTGTTTTGCTTTTAGGATTTTGTTTTAATTTTTTTACCATAGGATAGGGCCCATATGACACATTACATTTAATTATTTCTTGATTATTTCATTCATAATATTTTATTTCATAATTTTGATTGCTAAATAATTTTTTTATTGTTAATGTAGATAATAAATACAGATCAAAATTAATTGTTGGTTTTATGTTTCTTTTTTTTTATTTTTAGAATATTACAATAATTTTTTCTGCTGCATATTATTGGTACTGCATCAAAATTTGATGTTTGTAATTGTATCGCGGGGGTCCCGCTCTAAGAGCTGGGGGAGATGTGTCAAATAATGTATTTAGGGTTCATCTACTATAGGTAAAATAGTTAAATAATTAATCATTTATTAAAAAATATTTATCTCATATTAAATTATTATTTTCATTTTTCACATTCATTGTTTAGTTTATTTAAAGACATTATTTCTAAAGAGGAAGTATAAATTCAGGTTTCTTAATTAATTGATACTTTTATGGAAATTAGTTGAACTTGCAAAGACAGCAGTAAACGCGGGTCAACGATTTACCTGATCAAGCAGAAGTGCATGAATCGGAACTTTCTTTATAAAATATTAAATACCGTAGAATGGGGTGAATAGGATCACTGAGGTAAATTGGATCAAAAGCAGGGGTGAATAGGATCAAGAGGTACCTACGGTGGGTGGAAAACGCTACAAGAAAACTGAACCTAACATAATTAAAGTGGCTATTCAGGTTATGTCTACACTTTCCCGGATGTGAAAGACTGATATGAGTTTACTTTTCAACATATTGTTGGTAAATTAAATCCTCCAGTAACATATGGAAGAGGTCTTCTCAGATTTGAAATTCGTGTGAGTGAATACAACAACAAACAATAATTAAAATAGCTTTTACTGTCACATATGTACTTATTAAAATAAAAGTTACAAACAAAAACTACTTTTAATTACTATTTATGAAATCTACCTTTCCGACTGGCCGCGCCATCGGGTTTTTAATTTCTAGTTGGACTCACACTTAAAAGTGAAGTGATCCTATACACACCACAGAAGGGAGTATGCGTTTAAACATTAAAAAAGCATGGTCGATCCTATTCACCACAATGGCAGGTGGATAGGATCAGCAAACAAAAAAATATATATGCGGGTAACGAATCGCTGAAAAAAAATTTTTGAATCAAAAATGAATAGAGCAGATATAAACTCATATTTTGATGTATACAGGATATATCTCACTATATCACTCTGAGAGATACGCTATTTTAAAATTTAAAATTGATCCTATTCACCCCATTCTACGGTATTATTAATCACTTGGTTTTGAAGAGCGACACAAGCACCATCCCTCTTAGAATGGTGTGCCCTTGGTAAGTACCTCATTAATGTTATTTTGAATATTAAACAATGAAGATTGTCTTTTTCTTTATTTAAATCAATAATTTACTTAGTAAATAAATAATTTCAATAAATATTATGTTTTATTAAAGTTCTACCATCTAGCTACTATTAACCCCTCAGCTCGTTAAGGGAACCATAAAAAACCTTAAACGCGGCAATATCACTTTCCAATGTCAAAAATACCTCCTGTATTTTTTCAGCACATATATTTATGCAGAGTTGCATAGATTAGATAGCGGTTCTACGTTTTATTATTATTAACTTTACTTTTTATATTATGTTCAATTCATTCTTTGTTTAGCTTTAAGGCAGTAAACACGCCTTTGTATTTTGTAATTAATTATTAAAATTTTTAAAAAGTCTTTTTCGGTGTTTGAAAAGCTATCTACCGGGATTTACTTAATTATCGGTACCTAGTGCGTCATATGGGTGACGTTATCAAAACTACCGGTAAAAAATGTATTACCGGTACCGGGATTCTAGATACAGCGTAGATTTTACCCTACCTTCATTTTATTTTTGTAGGCAAATTTAACATATGTAAAATGTGCACCATTGCTAATGTAAATTTTTTTAAGGATAAATAGTCTATTAGAACATGGAATTTAGTGACTTACGAGCTAAAATTAAGAGAGAAATAAATTACTTCCCCTTAAAATTAATTTTTCCCTAGATTAGTAATTTGTTCAAAGGTTATTAATATTTTATAATAAAAAAAAACAACAAATAACATATTATTATTATGGCGAGTAACTTTTAATACGATGTGGTGAGGCTTATAGAATTAGTCGAATCAAAACCTTGTATTTGGGACAAGACTAATGACAATAGCAAGAACAAACTGTTAAGAGAAAAAGGCTGGACGGAAATAATAAAATTTTTGGAAAATGATTATGAGGAACTAACTATGGAAGAAAAGAAAAAAACATGATGCGGTTTTACAATTTGTTTAACTTTTTACATGAAATTTAGGCTACTTTAAAGTGGTTTCGAAAAAAAAAAAAACTAGGATGAAGCTAATTTTACTAAAAAAATCCATTCCATTTAAAACGTACACAATGTGTTTTTTAAATATTAGAGTAAAAAATGCTTGATCATGTTTTTTTTTTTAATATAGAATACCTTAAAATAAGTTTATAAGTCAATTTTGCTTTAGTAGAATTGAAAAATCGCATCATGATGTTATTTGTCGGAACCTATTTTTGGATAGATAGCGCACATTAAATCAAATTATGTAGGGTGTTTGCTGCTCTAACATAATTTAAAAATAAAAATGTTTACTTTATAAGGCTGCTACTACATGTAATATTTTTGTTGTTAAGGTGTAGGTATTTCAATAAAACGTAAACAATTGAATCAATGTAGTACAGGGTGTCCCAATAAGAACACACATTTTAAATTGCGCGTCATTTTTACTGTATTCGCGCAGTAGGCCAAAAAACAAATGATAAGAATAATGTAAACAGTTTGTGATTAGTAGCCATGGAACGATATACGGTCAAACAACGAATTATTATTTTTAAAACACACTATAAGTATGGAGAATGTTATACGAAGACAGTTCGTAAATTGCGTGGCATTTTTGGTCGACACAATGCGCCAAATCACACAACCGTTCAAAGACTACTTAACAATTTTGAGCAAAATGGTTCTGTCGTGGACGTGAAAACACCATTGCGTCACCGTAGTAGCAGCTCTGTTGAAAACCAGCGTTGCCAATCTGCCAGTAATCACTGGCATTTGCCGGTAAAAATGAAGCTTGCCAGTAATCTTGCCAGCAATGACTTTGTGCCAGTAATTTGCCAGTATTTTATAATTCTCCAATTATTCCGCTTAAAATATATAATATATCGGTTTTTAATTCGAGACATCATTCTAGTATATTAAATTGACATTTAACATTCAGAATTCACACCACTGTTGGCGGCCAGCGCTGGCCGAACAACTCCGTACCCGAGACCGGTATCATATAGAG